ATTTATACAAGACAAAGTATAATAAATTATCCCCAAAAATGTAGAAATCGACCTAAGTAAAAATAAACTTAGCTTAGAAAATGCAGGAATTGAAACTAACTCCTATAGTTATAACACGTGGCGAGTAACTAAAACAACAACCTATTAAACTGAAGCTCAAACTAAGTAGTAATCTCACTCAGCCACATGCAAGTCAAACCACAAAGGTAAGTACTCTCACCACCCCCAAATCAACCTGGACAAACAATAGTTCGTAGTCTTTCAATGATTTATCCCTTTATACCCAACTTACATAAGGCATAAAGCTAGACCACCTGAACTTATGGGAACCTGTCTATCTCAGTCATTGAATATACACAAACACAGGACACTCCAACTTTCTCTTCTTTGGGCATATGACTAGGCCACCCTAGTCTCAATGAACCATTTAAGTATCCAAGTTATATATAATTGTCTGCACTTTGTCTTTTAAGACAACATATGACTGAACCGGTCATCTTAGATCAAGATTCTGCATGTCTCTTTTTACAACATAAAAATTCCCACGAGAATTGAAAGTTGAAAAAACATTCCATACAAAAAAATTCATTAATATTTATAAATTATCATTCAAATGTTCGTCAAATTCTAAAATTTACAGTTTTATTTGATAAATTTATGTCTAAATATGAATTTTTTCTTCCAACTACATCTATTTGTTAAAGATGGAATGAATATCTGGACGAGTTTATGAAATGTTTTAATTAAACCTTCATTCTATTACAACAAATATCTTTTAATTTAGATTGGATCAACCTATTTATGACAGAAAATCCTTACTTAGAATGACAGTTCAATTAAAATATTTCATGAACTCATCTAGACTTTCATTCCATCTCTAGCATGCAGGTCAAATAAGAAGAGATACCCAATTCTTGGAATGAAAGTTTTCAAGGAAGACGAAAATTTTTAAAATTTGAATGACATTTTTTAAGATGGAATGAAAATTTGAAATTTATAATGTAATTTTACTATAGAATAATTATTTAATTCTGAATTTTTTTTTTCTGTTGTACCACAAGTTTATTTTTAATTAGTACTTTCTTCAGTTAATGAAAAAACTATAGTCAGATCACTCAAATTTATGGAACCCTATTTGACTAGCCTGTTCATAAGTAAATAGTATAGGATATAAACAATTTTAACATTTTGGTCTAATCATGTGCGTGACGTTGGACCAAGACCATCCAAACTTATGAAACATGTCTTGGTCCTTAGTCTGATTCATTTTCTCTTAAAACCAAAGCAGGAAGAGGCCGAGCCACCCAAACTTATGGAACATGCTCACACCTCCTCGTTCAGAAACTAAAAAAATTGAAAGAAACCCAAATTAAACAAGGCGACCAAAGTCACAAAAACTTATGGAATATGCTTGGTCCCTGAAAAACCAATCACAGTCAGCCATCGAAGTCAGAACGACCAGATCACTCAAACTTATGGGAACTTGTTTGGTCTTTCGGGCAATCAAAAATAAACATAGCATTGGACCCTCCAATCTTATAGAGACTTGTCAAGTCTTTGATTGACCCAATCAGACAAGCAATATTGCCTTCCCCTCATCCTTCCCCCAGATGCAATCCCACAATCTATTTTCAATCAATACAACAAAAATTGAAACTGAATTTGCACAATCATTCCTTTATTAAGTCTGGTTTATGTGATGAAGTCAAACTGAAAGTCAAGGAAAACAATTTTTACCTTTCAATTCCTTGTATCCAGAACTCCTGCTGAGTTACGGCAGAGCTCCCCCAATCGGTGGGTTGACTCCCTACAGAGTCTTGTCGAGGTCCTACGGTTTGCAATCCCGCCTGCCGCCTTGCTCTCAAAATCAGATTAGACTTAGACTGAAAATGACAAAAAAAGGAAGATTAAGACTCTCAGATACAAGGAGGGTGCTTTCAGCCTCGCACGAGAGGGCCTTGGTTTCTTGACTCGCTTGAGGGCCCCTCAATGGTGGTCAACACACACAGTAGCTTGATCAAACCGTAGTGTAATAGCACTCAGACAGTCTTTTAAGTCGCAACAACAACCCCCACCCCTTCTTGTAGAGTCTGACTACTTCCCCACGTTGTGGCGCCACACCTATTAATCAGTAGGCCGTTGTTCTGCCAGAGCGTGCAGCGTTCAAATAGGACCCGCCCGTCATGGGCGACGCAACAAACCTTACAGAAATACTGACGCAGAGCAACCATGCACACCAGCAAGGTATCGCGGAGCGCGGTAGCAAGAGAGAAGGTTAACAACACGTATAATTTTCATCATACATATATTATATATGCAACTTAGACCCAATTCTTTTTCATTGCTCACGTTTTCTTCACTCTTATGCTCAATTTTTATGACATATTTGAAAAGTTGCGGATTTCTCATCGCCCATGTTGTTGTCATCATAGTTGTTGGTTGTCTGCCCAAACAGATAACCATAACGGTTGCTTTCATGGTCTTCGAGACGTTCATCACTTCGGGATGCTTCATGATTTTCGAATCGCTTGAACAGATGGCCATAAGGGTTGCTTTCATGGTCTTCGGAACGTTCACCACTTCGGGATGCTTGATGATTTTTGGGTCGCTTCAACAGATGATCATAATGGTTGCTTTCATTGTCTTCGGGACGTTCATCACTTTAGGATGTTTCATGATTTTCGGGTAGCTTGAACAGATGGCCATAAGGGTTGCTTTCATGATCTTCGGGACGTTCATCACTTTGGGAGGTTTCATTATTTTCTCATAACTTGAAAAAATGGTCATAAGGGTTGCTTTCATGGTCTTCGAGACGTTCATCACTTCGGGATGCTTCATGATTTTCGGGTAGCTTGAACAGATTGTCGTAAGAGTTGTTTTCATTGTCTTTGGAGCATTTATCACTTTGGGATGCTTCATGATTTTCAGGTGGTTTGAACAAATGCTCATAAGAGTTGTCTTCATGGACTTCGGGAAGTTCATCACTTCGGGGTGCTTCATGATTTTCGGGTAGCCTGAATAGATGGTTATAAAGATTGTTTTTATGGACTTCTGGACATTCATCACTTCGGGATGCTTCATGATTTTCGGGTAGCTTGAACAAATGACCATAAGGGTTGCTTTCATGATCTTCGGGCCGTTCATCACTTCGGGATGCTTCATGATTTTCGGGTAGCTAGAACAGTTAGTCATAAAGGTTGCTTTCATGGTCTTCGGGATGTTCATCACTCCGGGTTGCTTCATGATTTTCGGGTAGCTGGAACAGATGGTCATAAAAGTTGCTTTCATGGTCTTCGGGGCGTTCATCACTTCGGGTTGCTTCATGATTTTCAGGTAGTTTGAACAAATGGTCATAAAGGTTGTTTTCAAGGACTTCAGGACGTTCATCACTTCAGGAGGCTTCATGATTTTCTGGAAGCTTGAAGAGATGACCATAAGGGGTGCTTTCATGATCTTCGGGACGTTCATCACTTCGGGATACTTCATGATTTTCCGGTAGCTAGAACAGATGGTCCAACAGAAAAATTGTCGCCGTTTTTTTTTTTTTTTTTATCGTGGGGCCTCACCCCTGAACAACCGTTTAAAAACTGTTTTTCAACTGTTTATCCTGGCACATGCACCATGCTCAACAGGAAGTGAAGGAAACCAACGTGCGTGACTTATGTAGTCCACATGAAGTGACAGGATAAACAGTTAAACTTTAAGTTGGTAAACTGTTGAGAATCTGTTTATATTCTGTTGAACTACGATTGAAAGGTTGAACTATGTGTTGGTAAACTGTTTATCAACAGTTGAACTCAAGACTTTATGTTGGATATCATGTTGGAATTGTGATGAAAATGTGATGGTGGTGTGATGAATCGTGTTGGAAATGTGATGGTGTTATGTTTGAAATTATGGTGCTCGCCTGTCGGAGACCTCTCTATTCATATTCATGCATGCATGTGTCCCATTGGAGCAGAGGGGAACATTCCGATCGATAAATTTTGTGACTCACTCATGGTCAAATATACGTAATGTTCGTTGGAGATCGGGAATGGACTGTTTGTTTGAGGAGGGAATTATTATTTTTATAAGTGAGCGCCCACCTTTATTGGTAAGCATTAATACAGACTTCGATTGGAGTGAGAGAGAGAGAGAGGTAAAACAGGGTGCCTCTACTCTAGACAACAAAGAAAAGATGAGCACGCATACCTCCCAAGCTTGTGACTCCTCCCACACTTGTGACGATGAGGTTGGGAAGTGGGAGCCATATACGAAGACGTTGTAGGCGTATTCTGGCGTAAGTGACATCCACTTCCCAACCTCATCGTCATGCGGGGTTCCTTGTGTGTTTGTTGTTCATATTGCATTGCATCTCTCTCTCTCTCTCTCTGTTACAGTTGTGACCATGAGGTTGGGAAGTGAGAGCCATATACGAAGACGTTAGCTATCTCACGAACACGAACAGACAATTACTTATATGTCCACGAATAATAATTGATGTCAAAATCATCCATAAATAGAGTGTCTTTGTCTCTCATTTCATCTCTCTCTCTCTCTCTCTCTCTCTCTCTCTCTCTCTCTCTCTCTCTCTCTCTCTCTCTC